GTTATTTATTTTACTGTAATTTAATTAGTTTAATACGCTCTTTTGTTTTGTTTTACTATGTGTATTGAGGGTCCCTAATGATCAGCTTCGGCTGGATGGACCACCCTCATTAAAGATTGTTGAAATAAATAAAATAAAATAAATACCATTAAAGGCTTTTTCTATGAATGGAATGACCTGTACAAAACACGAGCTCCTGTAGACCAAACCCAGTACCGTTACGATTTTAATCGTATGGGAAATATCCTCAAGATATAAACTTAGTAATACATTTTGCCTTTACCATGTCTTTGGAACATTCACTATGAGCTAATTTTTGCATTGCACTATAAATGTGCGTTTTATGAGTGTCATATTTGAAAACTTGTTTTGCCAATCCCTAACTTTAGTAGTGGGGCTGATGTGGATATAGACTCTATAGACGGTAAGATAAACTAATTGACAAAATAATAATGAGACATATACCGGCAATTGGTTAACTGATGGATATCCATTTATTACAACTGACGGTCAATTAACTCCATTAGTTCCTTACTTTTTATATTCCTTCTAAACTGTAAATAATTACGAAACAAATACAACAGATAATCAACAATAAAACTACATAGGATATACACTGTACCACGAAGGTAAAAAGGATAACTTAGCCAGCGTGGTTGTCTGCAGAGTTTGTATAAACTGTATCTTGAACAATGCAATGGCATCTGCCCCGAACAATGAGTGACCTGTATCACCTTTATATATATTATAATTATCCTTATCTCAAATAACAATGATGTAACCCAGTTCGCCAGATAACGTCTCTATATTATAACATACAAATTATTCATTGATTATTTCCACAATACTTACCAGGCGCCGGTCCAGACCTTCACCCAGTTCGCCCAGCCAAAGTTAAGGATAAGAAAAAAAATAAAATGTTTTTCCAACAATCATACTTAATTTCCTTGACATATTTTGAACATTACCATTAGGACATTGTTTAAATCCACACTAGCATCCTACACTTTTACACTGATTCTGTAGGCCCTACCAGGGAGGTACATTCCCATGGCATCATGGTCTTCCATTTCTATAGCGCATAGCGTAACGTTTGTCATCCATTGTAGTGCATGACAAACGTTACGTACTGTAACCACCCACTACTAATTCGGAGTTGCTCAGCGTAGTCGTATATGTGTCTATGTTGGCATTGACACTGTGTGTTTTTAGCATTGTTTTAAAGTAATAACCTATCAGAAATTCACATGAACAACAAAACGAATAAAAATATATTTGGCTTAGGTATTGTTTTCAGCAACAGTGGCATATCCAGAATTTAAGGAAAGAGGGTGCTGATGAAATGAGAGTCCACACCGTGGTTGGTGATGACACGAAAATTTCAGTATTTTATACCTCTGGAGGCCTGGAAATGAAATTTAAATTTACCTTTTAATTCTTTTTATTTTTGACGAATTGATTAAAAAAAAACTAACCCGAAAATGACAATTATACCTGATTCACACGTACAAAAATCTTACCAAATGTAACCAAAAGTAACATTTTACGGCACATGTGAAAGTACCTCCGTGTAATATCCTTGTAAAATCTCGGAACGTCTCGGTAATCTTTTCCAGCCTCGCTGAGGCTGGTAAAGCTTCCGAGATGTAGCATGGATGGATCTGCGCATGCGCAGGGATTTCAACACAACAACAATCTACTGTGTATCACAGGGTTCTTTGAATTTTCTTCCTTCTGCAGACGATTCTGATCCACTAGAAATAGATAGGCCTAGTTTTTCTCAATGATGAATGAATTACCCTTGTTATTGATGTTAATTAATAATGGTAGAAGAAGAAGATATACATAAAATGAACGTCGGGATGGTGTTAGTACTATTACTAGTATTATCAAGAGTCGACAGAAATGTTGGAAGCTATGCCTAGTTTAATAGTAGTAGTACAGCAGTTGTTAAGGGCATTGATTGCTTGGAATGTTTACTGTGATGGTGAGTTCAACAGTCCATCTGTGACAGGGGTTCTCAACTAGGGCCTAGGCCTAGGCTAGACCTATATCGCAGTAGGGGAAAAATGATTCATTGAATAAACACTGAATAAATTTTACACGACCTTGGCATTACCTTACAGACGCTTGTGAATGCTTTTTATTTCGGTAGGAATAACTCGGGAGATCGCTCGGTTACAATTTGTTACTTTTTGTTAAATTTAACTTCACGTGTGAAGTTAAATTTAACAAAATTGTGTGTGTGTATTAAATACTTAGAATTCTAAAAACTACTATCCAACTGAGCCCCACCATGATTCAGGCTCAGGTGAGAAAAGTTTGAGAATTTGCGACTTGTATAGATGCCCAAAAATAGCACTTGAATAGTACAAAATTCACGATATCTACCTGAGCCCTACCATGGTTTTGGGTGGCAGATGAGTAAATTTTAAGAATTTAAGACTTTAGATGCCTGAAAATGGCACTTGAATACTTAAAACTTTTTAGGCATGATGGGTACTTATACTACCACCATGAGGTAGGGGGCGCTTTATTAACAATCGAATAGCGTTCGGAACTCTAACAAAATTGCGTTCGAAACTTGAACTTTATAGAGACGCAGCACGCGTTCGCCAAGAATGCCTTTTACCGTCATTTGAAGGACAGCCTCTAGAACCTGGAAGTACTCTTCGTGATTAATGACAAAACGTGAGTTAGTGTTTTTAGTGTAATATAGTAGTACTGTACGCCTATGCAGAATATTGTTATGAACAAAAATTTTCATGAAAAATCCAGATGCACTACAATAATACACACATCTGCATATTGGCAAGTGGTTTTCCCTTCTTTGAAACGACAGGTTAAAATACTTTTAATAGTGAAAATGTGATCCTCGCACATATGTAGCGACCTGAATCCTCCCTAAACTTCTGATAGTATGTTCTCTTCCTCTACGTAGTTACAGATTTGCATAGCAATTACTATATTGAATAACTTAGATTCAATATAGATGTCTAATAACATCGATGTCTAATAACAAGTTTTCATCCAGAGAATCAACATCACAATCTTGATCACGTATCTCTTTAACTATTTTTTTGGTGATATTCTACCATTTTCTATCATTAATTCTCCCAAGAGTCTCTGAGTAGCTTTTCATTGTAATTAAAATATTTTCTTTATCCGTAATTATTTCAACTGATTGGGGTACTTTTATGCAATCAAGAGATACTTTATGTTTATCATCTGAGCCTCTAAGAATTTTCCAAAAATCCCTACATGAGGGTCCAACTTTATTTGTATATCTAGTGATTGTTTAACTGTTGTCCGTTATTCTTTTGTTAATCTCTTTGCGAAATTACGCCTTTCCTGATAAAGTTGCCAAAGAATTTCAGTGGTAGAATCATTAGTATTACATTCAGTTTAATCCAGCCCCTCTGTGCTTTAGCAAATGCCCGCCTTTCTTTAATTGCTTAATGAACAATACTCGAACAAAATTGCGTTCGAAACTCGAACAAGCGTTATAGAGGCTTGAGTCTATATTAATAACATGTCGCACCCTGGAAAGTATCATAAGGGTGGAACCTATGATATTTCAGCCCAACCCAGATGTACAGTACAGAAAAGAGGTTGAAAGTCACAAGAGGTAGGAGTTGGGTATTTTTAGTCTTGAAAACTGGTGAGCCACCAAGCAGGTGGGGAAATGCGAATTGATTCTCACCTCAAGAAAACTGGTATAATCACGATTATACTGCAGGTAAGAGCATCATTGCATAATCATTAATTATTGTAAACATGTAAGTTACATTTTAAAAATAATTGTTGTTTAAATCACGGTATATGTAATAAGTTTCAAACATCTTTTATGTATTTTGATAGTATTTATAATTTATTATCACCATTTTAATTATATTGTCTTCTGATTATTTTGATGCGCTGTGTTGTACATCTTTGCTTCTCCCTCAAGAGCTTTTATGGAAATAAATAAATAATTCAATACCGAAATATGATTTGCAAGTAGTGAGTGATTTGGCTTGTCTTCATCAATAAATAAAGACACAGTGAAAACCAACCTACAACTACTTTAGGTGTAGTTGTTTTGTCTGACAGTTTAGGCCCACTATTGTTTGTGCATTATACAGTATTTGTATTTATTGTTAAATATTCCTGGACTTAGCCCTACTTTGCACACACAAAGCAATTTAAAAAAAAATTCCAAACAAATGCTGCCATGTTTTTAATTTGCGTGCCTGTAAGAGAATTTTTTACACTCACATTTTTCTACCTTTGCGCTTCCATTGCTGATCCACCTACATGCTACCTGTAACAAAATTAAAAACAAATGTTCACTTGCATAACAGCAGGCCTACACTAGTGTGTGTATTGGCTAACAGTCAACTGTTTAAGACATTTCGTAGTTTACCAACACATGTAACTTTAAAACAAATAGTCTTAGAGCCTGTTCTGCTGAGCAAAAAAAACATGTTTTTAAACGGTTATTTAAAAAACACATTTTTTTCCCAGCAGAAACGGGCCAAAAAACAAAAACACAGTTAGGAATGCGTTCTAAAAAAACGTGTTTTAACACGCATTCATTATAGGGTTGGATTTCAGAAATGTTGGTACACTTTTCAGCTGCAACGCAATACCGTGTTAGTCATGACCTGTCCATGAACCAATTGACCTCTTCGTTGGTTTAATCGCTCGTCCGCGGGAAATTCGGACAAAGAAAAAAATTTAACCAACAGGACGACATGCTGGAGGCTTTACCATAATTTTTTCATACTTTCACGATGTGTTGATTGCTTCTTTCTCAGCTACAGGTATGCGCTGTAGCCCACAGGAAGTAAGGTCAACTTCAACTTCTGTTGCTGATCGTCATTACAAGCTCTGTCCACCTGTCAATGCTCGCATTACCGTGCTTTTATTAGTCTTTTTTTATTAGCACTTTTCACTAGAAACGCGTTCCGAAAGAATCCAGTCGGAGGCATTTTATTGCACAATGACTTTTATAGGCCTTTATTCGTTGAAAAGCTACAGGGTAGCCTACAATGTTCTATCATGTCCTTATTAAAAACTGTATGTACCTTTTATAATTTATATTATATTTATTCAGCAGTGTTAATGGCTAACTTCCTTCAATATCATATACAATATACGACAGTATTTATTTCTAGCCAATTCTCCAGGTATATTATCTGGCCGAACGCCCTCTTGAGGCGCACCATTGTGTTATACAATGTTCCCGACAGTTATTTGGACCTGTTCATGAAGCTTTCGTGGTCTAGCGGTTATGACGCTCGCCTTGTCAGCGAGAGGTCGCAGGTTCGAATCCCGTTGGAGGCATTTTATTGCACAATGACTTTTATAGGACTTTATTCGTTGAAAAGCTACAGGGTAGCCTACGTAATCCATCATGTCCTTATTAAACACTGTATAGCCTGGTTCTCACGAGAGCCCTAGTATCCGGATCGGGAGCTAACCGTTAGCACCTGCGTGAGAACGCCCGATCGGTTAGCGGTATCCGGATATGCTAACGGTTAGCAAGCGCTATCGGTTAGCAAGTTGAGGGTGTTTCTATCATCAACCAGTCACACGTACGCGTTTATAATTTCCAGTTTCTTATTGGCCAGTGATTCGATCATCATATTGTTGGTATCTGGATCGGGATTTTCTCGCACGGCAGCTAATGGTTAGCAGGATCCGGATCCTGCTAACCATTAGCTGCAGTGTGAGAACATAGCTTTTTTTATCCGTTTCTCGAGCGGATCACCTCTTGTTATTGTACTGTCTCTGTTTTTTGGTGATCCGCTCCGCTAGCGGATCACCTCTTGTTATTGTCAGAGATCTGTTTTTTTTAATTCTAGGTTCTCCCCATTTCTTGTTAGCACGATATCTAAAAATTGGCACGAGATGCATACATGCACGCTTCAACAAACATTTAGCTTGGCCTGGAATAGTCACAATAAGGTTTTCAAAGTGCGCAGTTATGCGTGACGTCATCTACGCGCAATTTTGTGTTTTTACATTATCGATCATATCAGCCTAACCAATTGCCATTTCGAAATCGTATTAAGTGAGCATTAATTTCAAGTCAATGTTACATGTAATGTACCCTAATTTTACGTGTACGCGTGCGTCAAACTTTTAAAATGCTCGAAATCACATTTAGATTAAATTAGAGCACGTTTCAGGCCATTTTGAGCATTTCAAAATTTTTTTTAATTTACCACTATGCCTGCGCATTTTTACGCGCGCAGCACGTATGGAAGCTAGAATTTTTTGTCACATTTTGGGTTCCTGACATTGTTTTGACAAGTTTCCAATCTTTTCAATCACTCTATGGCCAATAACAATGCCGTACGCACGCATCAAACATAGTGACCTTTGTGCGCATTTGTGCCGATATACAGTGAAATTTTGCTAAAATCAGGCCTAATTTTAAACAGTTACATCTCTTAAGGATGAAAAGTGACCCCCAATTTTTATTACATATTCTGAAAATACATGAGTTGTAAATATGATTTTATAGGTCATAATGGCTGATCGGACATTATGACGTCATCATATTGCCATCTGAATTCAACAAACTGACATTTTAACAAATGCGCATTTGAGCGTATCTCGCTTATTCTTGATCGATTGTCTTCCAACTTTGAGAATGTTGTAGCTGAGGCAATTCTCTTTTATATATGTGGCATTTTTTTACATTTTGATGATGTCATCATGGTCAAAATATAGGGTTTTGCTTACCCCCTCATCTTTCTTTCGTCAAGCCTTTGATGACCCCATAATCACCTTAATCAGTCGTGATTTCTAGATCATATTTAGTGGGTATAAACTTCAGGTCATGGTTAAATGTTATGTACATTATATTTTTGTGTGCGCGTAATAACGCGATGTTTTTGTGTGCGTCAAAATTAATATATGCTTTATATCATGTCTTTTTTTAATCAGTTATAGCTCCTTAGGATGAAAGGTGACCCCTAACTTTTATTACATATTCTGAAAGCACATGAGCTGTAGATATGATTTTATATATCATAATAGCTGAACGGACATTGTGATGTCATCATATTGCCATCTGAATTTTAAAAAACTGAATTTTTATATATGATAAATATTATGAATGATAATAACTCCCTCACCAACAGGCGTTTTATAAATGAGAGTTGATACATATATCTCATATCAGGAGTCAACATTTTGTGACATTACCATGCGCACGTGCGTCATGACGTGCGCATACGCATAAGTAAATCTTTCAAAATGCTCCAAATTTAAAAAAAAAAAACTGAATTAGCGTATACAGTACTTTAAGCCATTTTTCAGCATTTAAAAATCGTTCAACCCCCACCGCGCACACTTCCTCAAGGGTCAAAGTGCGGCAGATCACCTAACTCGTCCTCAGTGACGAGTTTAAATCTAGTTTAGTATTTATTTTATTTGCGGTATTTGTTATGTAGTAGAAAGCGTAGGATTCATAACAAACGAAAATAAAAACAGTCCAATAATATTAATTGATAATTTAGTAATAATAGTATTATTAATTTTATTTGCTTTTAAGTAGCCTGTTGTTACTTTTAGAAATACAACAAAACATAAACTAGATTTGAACTCGTCACTGAGGACGAGTTAGGTGATCCGCCGCACTTTGACCCTCATTAAAATCACGCGGTGCTGATTGAAAAGTGTCATAATATGATAAGCGAGATACGCTCAAATGCGTATTTTAAAAAATGACGTCATAGCTTTAAAATTAAGTTTTTTAAATCAAATGCCAATATGATGACGTCACAATGTCCGATCAGCCATTATGAAGTAAAAAATCGTATCTGCAACTCATGTGCTTTCAGATGTAATAAAAATTGGGGGTCACCTTTCATCCTAAGGAGCTATAACTGATTAAAAATATTCATGGTTTTATGCATATATAAATGTTGACGCACATGTACGTGCACGCTAAAAAGCGCGAACGGAAAATTAAGGTACATAACATTCAATCTTGACCTGAAGCTTATGCTCACCTAATATGATTTAGAAATGACGAATGGTTAAGATTATATTGGGTCATCAACGTTTTGAAGAAAGAGAAATGAGGGGGTCAGAAAAAACAATTTTTTTGACCATGATGACGTCATCAAAATGTAAAAAGAAGTCAAATATATGAAAGAGAATTGTCTCAGCTATAACATACTCAAAGTTGGAAGACGATCGACCAAGGATAAGCCAGATACGCTCAAATGCGTATTTTCAAAAATGACGTCATAGCTATAATTCACTTTCTTTGAATTCAGATGCCAATATGATGACGTCACAATGTCCGATCAGCCATTATGATCTATAAAATCATATTTGCAACTTATGTGCTTTCAGAATATGTAATAAAAATTTGGGGTCACCTTTCAACCTAAGGAGCTATAACTGATTAAAAATAGGTCTGATTTTAGCTTAATTTCACTGTATAGCAGCACAAATACGCGCAAAGATACCTATGTTTGATGCGCACGTACGGCATTGCTATTGGCCAAAAGATGACCGAAAAGAATGCAAATTTGTGAAAACAATTTCAGGAAACCAAGATATGTAAAAAAAACCTGATTTCTAACTTCCATACGTACTGCGCAAGTAAAAGTGCGCGCGCGTAGTGGAAAATTATGAAAAGCTCAAAATGGCCTGAAACGTGCTCTAATTTAGTCAAAGGTGATTTTGAGCATTTTAAAACTTTCACGCACGCATACGCGCGCATAGTCAAACGCACGCGTACAATTATGGTACAGTACATTCAACATTAACCCGAAGTTAATGCTCACTTAATACGATTTCGAAATGGCAATTGGTTAGGCTGATACAGTATGATCGATAATGTAAAAATGCAAAATTGCGGACATTCCAGACCAAGCCAAATGTTCGATGACAGCGATTGTGCGTAACTCGTGGCATTTTTTGAGATATCGTGCGAACAGAAAAGGGGAGAAAGAAAGAAGAATAAGAAAGTTGAAGATGATGATGATCCTGACAATAACAATAGGTGATCCGCACTAGATGCGGATCACCAAAAAAAGAAGATGATGATGATGATCCTGACAATAACAAGAGGTGATCCGCTAGTGTAGCGGATCACCAATAAAAAAAGTATGATAAACCGATTGACGAACTTGCAATGATAATTAGGCCTAGGACTAGTTATATTAAATTTAGCGTTTTGCAACTCCATAGAATAGGCGCTCCATATATTTGTTGAAAACAAACCGCGACCGAAATGAAGCGCGACCGAAATTATCTGTTTCAGGCCTTGATGCCTCTCTGGTCCTTCCGTACTCCTATCCAGGCCTAGCCTAGCCCTTAGCCTAGGGCCCAAGTCAACTCGGTCCCAGTATACTCGGCTTCAAGTCTAGGGGCCTAAACTACTTACCTGCAAATCTGCAATACCTAGCCAAAAAAGTTACCTTAGTAGTAGCAGGGAGTTGTTATAGTCACTATAAAATATAACAACTCCCTGGTAGTAGGCCTAGTAAAATTTAAAATATGGTAAATACAAATAGGCCTACTTGAACTAGGCCTAGTGGTCGAAACATGTTCCTGGAAATTTACTGATATCCCGAATCAAATTGTTCACAAAACATCGGTTGCATGCAGAAAGCCAACATCTAACGTATAAATCATTCAAATTGCTTGGGTCTGCTCACTTATACCACAACTCCCTGCCAGCGTACGTGTGACCACTCACAAAATTTCCCAAGCTTCCAGCCTAATTTTAGGTTACGCACTCTTTACTGCACTTAGTGCGCGCCATACCTAATTTAATTAGTGTCCCATACTCGATTTTTTTTTTTTTCGAATTAGCTTATTTCGTCTCTAAATCAAAGATCTTATAAACACAAGATAGCGTTCTCCGCGATTTACGCGTAACAAATAGAAGCGTCGGTCAAGGTTCAAAAGTTTCCAATTTAGCAAGAGGGCGTCATTCATGCGCTATTATACATCTAGATGTGTATAAGAGACAGCCCTTTATTACATAGATCAACGCATGGATTGATGATATTATAGTCATAGCGGTCAAAGGTCAAAAGTTTCCTATTTAGCAAGAGGGCGCCATTCATGCCTTATTACAGAATTTGCACGCGTAAATCGCGGAGAACGCTATCTTGTGTTTATAAGATCTTTGCTCTAAATTAACTTTCTCGTTAGTGGCGCTGTCCAGAATGACAAAAATAATAAAAAAGAGACTTGTGGGAAGTCTACCAAGCTTCCTGAAATGCATTAAAATTTGAAAAATGCGTGTTTTTCGCATGTATAGTTTCCCTTTTAGTTCAATTTATAAACCATTTTTTATTGTAATTGTTTGTGTTAATTATTAAAATTAATATTCATGAGGTGATAATACGGACTGAATACGGATAGAAAAATACGCCTCATCGGCCAGTGTTATCAGTGTAGACCAGTGATCAAGTTTTATTATGTAATGCATTAATTTGGTAAGATCAATATGGCAACGCAAGTCACAAATAAACAATTCTGAACCCATGTTTATAGCAATTAACAGTCAATTAGGAATGTTATGTGCACTTCGTTGAGTTTTGCTTACTTGAATGAACTGAAATATACTTTGTTACTTCATAATTTTTCCTCTATCATGACAAAAATACTTAATTTTCTTAGTAAAAATAAAATACCCAAGGATTTGAACGGAATACCCAGGAACCCAAGACCAAGTCAAAATACCCAAGATCTTGGGTAAATACCCAAGCAGTGATCACGCTGCTCCCTGCTTATACAATGTCACTATGACCATGGGTGCTGTACGTGGTTCTCTTCGCTTACTCAAAAACTTCAAAGAACTAGCAAAATGATTTTTTACGGAAGCGTATTGCTGCCAACTAAAAAAAAAATAAAATTCAGATATTATCTCGTAATAACGAGATAATTATCTCGTAATTACAGATACTATCTCGTAATAACGAGATATTATCCTGTTATTACGAGATAATATCTCATAATTACGAGATAATTATCTCGTAATAACGAGTACAGACACAATGTATACACAGGCCTAGCTGAGAGTCCAGTTAAAACATGTAAATATGTATCGAAATGATATACTTATTTATATATTTATATAGGCCTAAATATTATGCGTAAATATGTATTTAGTTCTTAAATTAAGTTTATATTTTCAGCCGCTCCAATTTTTTCCCTTTTCTTCTTTCTCCCTTCTTATATGTTTCCTCCGTTTTTTCGTTAAATTTAATTTAATATACTAAATACAGATTTATACGGAAGCGTATTGTTGTCAACTAAAAAAAAATTAAATTCAGATATTATCTCGTTGTTAAGAAATATTATCTTGTAATAACGAGATAATTATTTCGTAAGTACGAGATATACTCGTTATTACGAGATGTTAACTCGTAATTACGAGATATTATCACGTTATTACAAGGTAATTATCTCGTAATAACGAGATAATTATCTCGTAATTACGAGATAATATCTCGTAATTACGAGATATTATCTTGTAATAACGAGATATAATATCTCGTAATAACGAGATAATAATCTCGTAATTACGAGAGATAATTATCTCGTAATTACGAGGTAGGGTAAGGGTGGTGAATTGTGGACCTTTAAGCATATTTGCATAAATTTAAAAAATGTGGACTGAAAGTTTTTTTATTATCAACAACTATTATTGGTCTTTAATTACATGCATAGTTCAAGGTTATCAGATTATTATTTAATTAGCTAACAAGCATTAATTACACTGGGGTCAATTGTCCACAATTGCGTACGGGTGTAGGTAATGGACCCAATTAAATCATTTTGGGAGGAGGGCACACCCTCCCCACCCCATACGCACCCACTCCCATACCCCCCGCCCCCGGCTCAGACCTTCGGCCCTCAGATAATGCTGCTCGCTAGTAGTTGCTCCCATAAATACTTATCCCCATTAATACTTAGTCCTCCAGTCGGAAATCGTAGCCCCCCACCCCCATAAATTATATCCTAGAGCCGCCCCTGCTTTGAATAGGTCATTCCATTCATAGGAAAAGCCTTTTGATGGAGATATTATCTCGTTAATACGAGATATTATCTCGTAATTAGGAGATATTATCTCATGATTATGACACTAGACTGTCGGAAATGGCACTCTCATACCTAAGTTCTAATTATAATTTTGCTTTGTTTCTTCCATTTATAAAAAATAATTTTGAAAAATTTAGGGTCGGCTCGGCCCCACTTGAATCCGCCACGGATTATTATGACATCATTGCTAGATTGCGTCAACGTAACACTGGAGTTTGTAAACTTTTGGTATCACTAAATCGAAATAGACATGTCCGTGTCAAAGGCTGTATATTCTTGTTTAATAATAGCTATATAAAATTCCATTGACTAACTATAATTTTTTGAATTTTTTTTTTATTGCTGCCAACTAAAAAAAATTAAAATTCAGATATTATCTCGCAATAACGAGATAATTATCTCGTAATTACGAGATAATTATCTCGTAATTACGGGATAATATCTCGTTAATACAAGATAATATCTCATAATTATGAGATATTATCTTGTAATTACGAGATATTAACTCGTAATAACCAGATATTATGTCGTTATTACGAGATAATATCCTGTAATAACGAGAAAATATCTGAATTTTATTTATTTTTTTAGTTGGCAGCAATACGTTTCCGTAGGCTCGCGACCCATAGGTTGCGGAAAGGAGGTCTAGACACTTCATATTATTAGATGTGTGATACACGGTTATTGTGCAAAATCATTTTACCGTAGGTACCGTAATTTGTATATTTAAAATAATTACAGTATTTACAAATATAAGAGGAAGATTAAAATCTCTCGTTCTATTCATTAAATGTCTGTCGATAATATTTGCATAATTATGTGTACAATTTTTTTTTAAATAAAAAAAAAAGTGCTAATCATTCTCCAACCTTGAAAACATAGTTTGGACAATTTATTTGTTATGATTGGATGCTTAGATGCAATTTTTATAGTTTATTATATTTGATCATTCTTTTAATTGTTTTACTGTATTTTAATGCAAGAACTGAATTTCCGACTTGGAGCAACAAAGTGTATCTTATCTTAATATCTTAGTTATTGCGAATATCGATTTTCCTTTAATGGCGGAAGCTAATTTGCATATTTAACATAGCTATATAGGCCTCCTGTGCAATTAATTAATTAACGATATACTAACCATACTCCTTAACCCTGAAAACATGGCTTTGTGTACTTCATTTGTCATGAATAAATGTTTCAGACACAAATTGTGAAAAATCAATTTTCTTGTAATGGTATCATCTAATTTGCATATTTAACATAATTATATGCATATAATTATTTTATGATTATGGCACCTCTAGTTGGTCGGAAATGGCAATCTCAGACTGAATTTGAATATAATTTTCATTTTTTTCCACTGAAATACTCATCAAAAGTTTTTTAAATTGTCCTTTTAGTCATAATTATGCCCGCTTATATATTTCGTGCAAACTAAAATTCATAAAAATAATGATTTATTATCTACTGATTAGCTGGTGACGTATTCAAAATTTGAACCATGAAAAACAAATAAGATAAACTTAAGTTTTGTCTACACTATCAAATTTCATCAAAAAAGCGTCATATCAAATGTTATAGAATATGAGTTGAACACGTTCAAATTTTTTTGATACAATTTGATAATATGTGATATGACATCATCGTACCTATATATGGGCACATCACATTTTTTTGTCGCATAAAATTTGATAGGTAGACAAGATTTAAAGCAGTCATTAATTCAGTCTTTTTGCATGTACAGTACTTTTAAAATCAATCAAGAGGTTTTTGCTTTTCTCCTCTTTTTGAATTTCACTTAGGCAAATGTGTAAGTAATATTGCGACTAGACTATTGTGAGTGGAAATAATACCGTCTAATTTATGATCAAACAGGACCTAGGGAGATAGGGAGCACACAAAACATTAGTTAGCATTTTGATTTCACAAACATAAAGGTGATTTACTTAATTTATCATTATCAGTGGCAGCTCCAGGAAATCAAAATAGAGGGGGACAAGGAGGGACTTGCACAATTTGGGAAAGTAGATCACCTCAGCCCTACCATGGTTGGAGCTGAGGAAATAAAATTTATGATTATGACACTAGACTGCCGGAAATGGCCTAAGTTCTAATTATAATTTTGCTTTGTTTTTTCCATTTTAAAAAAATAATATTGAAAAATTTAGGGTTGGCTCGGCCCCACTTGAATCCGCCACGGATTATTATGACATCATTGCTAGATTGCGTCAACGTAACACTGTAAACTTTTGGTATCACTAAATCGAAATAGACATGTCCGTGTCAAAGGCTGTATAATTCTTGTTTAATAATAATAATAGCTATATAAAATTCCATTGACTAACTATAATTTTTTGAAATTAGGAAAAACAGAAATTCTATAGATGTAGATAATATTAAATAATAATATACAAAAGCAATAAATCGTAGCAGAAATTGTGCACTTTTGAGTTTTTAAAAATATAGGCCTAATAAGTATACACGCTTCCAATTTTAACAATGTTCAGTACATTGTTTTCACAATAAATTTAGCCTCTGATAATCGCACCACCCATAAAATCGATCTAGTGGTTTTTGAGATGGTTATAAAATGTAGAAACAATTGCTTTTTTACTCGGTTTTGGTCGGGAAAATACGTACCGGACTTGGAAAGTGAATCGACAAAACTCATGACAGTCATGCGTAATTGTTATTCTTACCTTTCGCTTTTAAAAAGTGGGGTTT